GCAATCCTCTATCCATGCCAGTGCCTTGCCCCAAACACCACAGGCTCTTACCTTATTTAGCAGCCACCTTGTCAAAGGCCTTCCAGAAATCCAAATAGATCATGATCACTGGCTCCCCTTCATCTAACTTGCTCGTTACCTCCTCAAAGAATTCTAACAGATTTCTAAGTAAGTAAATAATAAGTACCAGCTGTTTTGGAACACTTGGGGTCGCACAGTGGTTAGCACTGCTGCCTCACAGCACCAGGGACCGGGGTTCGATTCCACCCTCGGGCGACTGTCTCTGTGGAGTTTGTACGTTGTCTCCGTGTCTGTGTGGGTTTCCCCCAGGTGCTCCGGTTTCCTCTCACAGTCCAAAAATGTGCAGGCCAAGTGAACTGGCCATGGAAAATTGCTCGTAGTGTTCAGAGATGTGTAGATTTGGTGGGTTATAGAGGGGATGGGTCTGCGTGCGATGTTCTGAGAGTCAGCGTGGACTTGTTGGGCCGAATGACCTGTTTCCACATTGTAGGGATTCTATGAAATAAAAGCGACATTCGCCAACTGAACGGCACGCAGGGAAGGGAACTGAGGAAATAAGCCAAGAAGCTTGCAGAATTCTCTGTCAAACTGGATCAGGCCAGATAGCTATGCAAGCCAGTTACCTTGATTGACTGTACCGAATAGGTATTTACAAGACAATGCTGTGAAATTTCGGATGGAACAATAGATTGGAGTTTCGGTAGTACAGTTTTTGAGGCAGCCCAGCTCTTACGGTCGCCTCAATCAAAAGAGAAATTGTAATATCCAATACTGCTTTCTGAAACACCTGTTCCTGGGACAGAAACTCATTAACATGGAGTAACTGAACTGTGCTCATCATATTGAATCAAACTGCTTTAAATACAGAAGAGGAATCCACTTGTCAGTTACCATGCCAACACAATAAACAAAAGGAAGTTGCTGTACTTGGGGATGACCCAGAAAATTGAATTCGAAGGAGCCACTCAAATCAGCAGGGCTGACACTCCGGAGACAACATCGCCACAAGAGTCAGGAGCCTTGGGAGTCAGAAGAACAGCCTCAACCTCAGGTCATACGGCCATAACTGGGGTAGTACAAACTTGTTTACCATCTTGCACTTCCAAAGCAGATTTTCAACTAGTGCGAGAACATTGTAATTTCAGAACTATAAAGGTTACTCGGAAAATTAGAAGGAAAGATGAGTTTCACACAATTGTATGTACATATCTCTTGTGTTTTGGCAATAATAAACCACATCTCGCGGTGAACCATGTCTTATGAGTGTCATAATAAGCAAGTAAATCAGACACATGAAAATGACACTTACACCTCCCCTTGAAAAAGCTCTAGTGACTGGCCTATTTTACCCTGGTTCTTTGAAAGTTGTGTCAGAGGTAGACAGGCTAGTTAAAAAGGCATTTAGCTCGCTTGCCTTCATTGCTCAGGCCATTGAGCACATGAATTGGGATGTCATGAAGTTGTACAGGACATTGGTGAGGCCACTTTTGGAGTACAGTGCACTGTTCTGGTCATCCTGCTATGGGAAGGATATTACCAAATTGGAGAGGGCTCAGGCAAGATTTACCAGGATGTTGCCAAGGCTGGAGAGTTTCAGTTATAAGGAGACACTGCAATAGGCTGGGACTTTTCTCACTGGAGGAGAGGTGGTTGAGGGGTGGCGTATAGAGATTTATAAAGTCATGAGGGGCATAGATAAGGTGAACACCAAAGGTCTTTTCCCTAGGGTGGGTGAGTTCAAAACTAGGAGGCATTTTTTTTTTTTTTTTTAAAAAGGTGAGAGGAGAAAGATTTAACAGGGACCGAAGGGGCAACTTTTTCACACAGCAGGTTCATATGTGGAATGAACTGCCAAAGGAAGTGGTAGGTACAGTTGCAACATTTAAAAGACATCTGAATAGGTAGATGAATAGGAACGGTTGAAAAGAATAACGGCCAAATGCAGGCAAAGTGGGACTACTTCAGTTTGGGATATTTGGTCAGCCTGGTTAAGTTGAACTAAAGGGTCTGTCTCCATGCTTGTGTTACTCAATTCTGCAAGCTAATCCTTAATAATAGGCTCTATTACAGGTCCTGTAATGGTCTGACTTCAACAGACAGAACGATCAACATAAGTAAACGTTTGCATTTATTACTGCACCTTTCACAACCTCAGAGATTCCAAAGCACTGCGTAGCCTTTGAAGTACTTTTCAAACTGTAGCCACCGCTGTAATGCGACAAACACAGCAGCCAGTTTGCACACATCAAGCACCCATAATCAGCAATGTGATCATAGTTCATAAATGTATTTTTGAGATATTAATGGAGGGATCTATATTGGCCAAGACAATAAACACCTTCGAGAAAGCTGATGAGGCTTTACAGAAGGGTTCACTTCGGCTTACATCTGTTCGAAACTCAGCGGAGGCAGTCAAATGACTGAGGGAAATACCTGTCATTTACAACTGGGCAGATGAATATACCAGAAGAAACACCATGTAACCAACAAATGATTGAAACGTAAAATACTTGATTTGAAACTAGCCTACACCACTGAAAATGTCTCAAACTAGCAGAAACGAATTGAGTTGTCATTTTTCATTCATTGCCTTGTTAAGCCCACCCTGCACCACACAGACATTCCTTGACCCCTAGAGATATTTAGAAGTAACGTTCAATCAGAAGGATTTTAACCCTGGCCATCAGGCACTAACGACTAGAATAAACTGAATAAAACAGCACACGAAAAAAAAAGGTCATGATTAATCATTTTTTGCATTAAAATAAACCTGCAGTGTTGTAGCCGTGTAACCGGTTAAGTTACATGCAAACAACCAGTTGTGATAAATAATGGTACTAATGAGAAATAAATAATGCTTGCATAATTATTGTGACACACTGCACGAGAGAGAAAAAAATTACAGCGGAATAGCCAGACAGAGTATGCAACTTGGATGGATCTCTCATCACATACCTCTCAGTATTTTGTAAGTTTCACTGAGTGTGGACACAGAGTCCTCAAACACTCTTCATATGACAAGTCTTCATCCCCAGGATTATTCTTGGAAACCTACTCTGGAACCCCTCCAACACTAGCACATTCTTCCTTAGATCCGGAGCCCACAACTGCTCACAATATTCCATGGTCTGACCAGAGCCTTAAACAGCCTCAGCAATATACCTCTGCTCTCGTATTCTAGCCCTCATGAAATAAATGCTGATATTACATTTGCCTTCCTGACTGCCAACTGAACCTGCATGTTAACCTTGAGAATCCTGAGCTAGAATTCCCAAGACCTTTGTGTTTCAGATTTCAGCACGTTTTCACTGTTTAGAAAATAGTCTACGCCTCGATTCTTCCAGTCAAATTGAAGATCCGCACACTTACCCACATTGTATTTCATTCGCCACTTCTATGCCCACTCGCCAAACCTGTCCAAGTCCTTCTGCAGCCTCCCTGCTTGCTGATCACTTTCTGACCCTGCACCTATCTTTGTATGATCTGCAAATTTAGCAACAATGGCCTCCGTTCATTCGTCCAGTTCGTTAATGTATCATGTGAATAGTTGTGGTCTCAACATGAACCCCTGCAAGGTCCACTAGTCACTGGCTGCCACGCTGACTAAGACACCTTTACCCCTACTCTCTGCCACCTGCCAGTCAGACAATCCTCTATCCATGCCCATACCTGCCCCTGACACCATGGGCTCTCATCTTATTTGGCATCCCCCGGTGCAGCACCTTGTCAAAGGCATTCTGGAAATCCAAACAGATCATGTCCACGAGCTCTCCTTTGTCTAACTCGTTATCTTGTCAAAGAATTCTAACATTTGTCAGTCATGACTTCCTCTTGTTGATAACCAAGCTGACTCAGCTGTAAATTTATCCATACATTTCCAAGTACTCCGCAATCTCATCCTTAAAAGTGGACACTAAAATCTTACCAACGACCAAGTCACTCTAACTGGCTGATTGTTTAAGACAGGAGGGAGGCAGAAGACCAGAAACAGAGGTGTCACATTAGCCAATGTCCTGACAGTCTCCTCAGCTATCTCTTTCAGAAGTCTGCAGCTCAGTTCATGCGGCGGTGTGATTTATCCGCCTTCAGACCTTTCAGCTTCCCAGCACCTTCTCCTTAGTGATGGCCACTATACTTGCCTTTGCCATCTGACCCTCTTAAAGTTCTGGTATTTAGCTGGCGTTTTCCACAATGAAAACTAATGCAAAGGAAGTATTCAGTTCCTCCGCCATTTCCTGTTTCTTCTCCAGCCTCATTTTCTAGCAGGCAATGTCCACTCTTGCCTTTCTCTTACCTTTTAGATATCTCAAACAATTCTTTTGTAGTGGTAGCTAGCTTACTCTCAAATTTCATTCTCTGCACCTTTATTGCTTTTTAATTATCCTGTACTGGGTTTTAAAAGGCTTCCCACTGATCTTCACCACATTCTCTGCTTTTATGCTGTTCCTACTTTCCTTGTCAGCCATGGTTGCCTTGCCCTACACTTCACTTGACGAAGGGGCAGCGCTTCGAAAGAATGTGATTTCAAATGAACCTGATGGCCTCGAACCTGGTCTCATGTGACTTCTGACCTTTTACTATGTTTCTTCTTCCTTGGAATGAATTTCTGCTGTGGCTCCCAAATTACTCCCAGAAGTGCCTGCCATTGCCACTCCACCGTCTTTCCTGCTAGGCTCCCCTTGCAATGAACTCTCGCTAGCTCCTCCCTCATGTCTTTTTAGATATCTTTACTGAATTATAACACTATTACATCTGATTTCAGACTCTCCCTCTCAAATTGCAGGGTGAATTTTATCATAATATGGTCACTGTGTCCTATGGGTTCCTTCACCATAAACTCCCTAATCAGGTCTGCCTTATTTCACCATCACCATATCCAGAATTGCTTGTTCCGTAGTGGGCTCTACCACAATACTGTTCCAAAAAAAACCATCACATATAGATTCCATGAATTCCTTTGATTAAGATCTGCTACCAACCTGATTTTCCCAGTCCACCTGCATATTGAAGTCCTCGACGATTATTGTAACACAGTAAACCTTTTGTTATTAACAGGCACCTATGGGACAAGGAGTGTGACAGTTGATCAAGATGTCCACATAATCAATATAAAAACACACACTGAGCAATAGAAATGTAATGCGAGGGTTATACTTTATTTACAGGACAAAATCAGATAATAATACAACTTTGTCTTCAATAAAACTGAGCCTTCTCACTCACACTCAACTGACTACTCAGACATTGCAGAGATCACGAGAATACAGTAAGCATCCAGTATTTCAGGTATATCATTTTTGTCAGTCTGTCGACTAGGCTGCTTTATAAAGGTGCCAGTTAAAATAACTTGCTGTGGTGTGTTTCTTAAGTGCCTTTTCTATCTCCTGATTTATTTTTTTCCCCCCACATCCTGACTGCTGCTAGAAGGCCTGCACACAACTCCCAACAGGTCTTTTCTCCTTTGCAGTTCCTCAACTCTACCTAAGCAGATTCTACACCATCCAGCTCTGTATCATTTCTTGCTATCAATTTAATTTCATTCGTTGCTAACAAGGCAACACACCCCCACTGCCCATCCTTTCTCTTGGATGTGTATCCTTGCACATTTTGTTCCAAGCCCTGATCCCCTTGCAGCTACATCTGTGATACCCGCAATGTCATATAAATAAATTTCAATTTGTGCTACAAACTCATTTACCTTGTTTTCTATACCGTATGCATTTAAGTACAACACCCTCGGTCCTGTGTTATCTGTCCCCTCTTCATACTTGTCCCCTTGTCTGCTGTGCCTAACATTAGACTCCTGAGCCTTTCCATACCCTCTGTCCCATTACATGTTGTGGAAACTTTGATAACTTCTATTGAGCCCTGCACACTTGTCACTGCAAACGTGCGCGCACATACACCTACTTAGTTTGAAGACCTATCCACAGTCTTAGTCATGCAATTTAGCAGAACTCTGGCCTCAGTATGATTCAGGGGGAGCCTGTCCCATCAGAACAGCTCAGAGATAGCAAAAACTGCAGATGCTTGAGTCAGAGACAACACAGTGTGGAACTGGAGGAACACAACAGGCCAGACAGCATCAGAGGAGCAGGAAAGGTGACGCTCGGGTCAAGACCCTTCCTGAAAGGTCAACTTTCCTGTTCTTCTGATGCTGCCTGGCCTGTTTTGCTACTCCAGCTCTATCAGAGCAGCTCCCTCCTTTCCCAATACTGGTGTGCCAATGTCCCACAAATTAAACCTGTTTCTCCCACAACAATCTTTGAGCCATGCCTTTACCTCTTTAATCTTTTTGACCCTGTGTCAATTTGCTGATGACTCAGGTAATATTCTGGAGATTATTACCTTTTTCATTCTGCCTTTTAATTCAGCCCCCAGCTGATCATCTTCCCTCATCAAAGCCCCGTTCTACTCATATCGTTGGTACCTACGTGGACAACAAGTGGATTTGAACCCTCCCGCTCCCAGCTCCTCTGCAGCCCAGCTGTAATATCCCAAACCCAGGTACCTGGCAGGCAACACTTCCTTTGGGACTCTTGATCCCAGCCACAGAGTGCAACATCCATTCCCGTGACTGCACTATCCCCATTTACAATGACATTTCTCTTTTCTCTGATCTCTTAAATGGCTCCCTACACAATGGTGCTATCAGCAGTTTGCTCATCCTCCCTACTGCCCCCACTCTCATCCACACAGAGCAAGAATCTCAAACCTGTTAGGCAAAGTCAAAGGCGAGGGTCCTTCAGCACCACCTCCTGCATCTCTCGAACCACCTTGCTCATGGTCACATCCTCCTGTCCCTGACCACAGCAGAATTCGAGGTAGTTAATCTAAGGGGTGTGACTGCCTCCTGAAATACAGTAAGTCTCTGCCTGCCTGATGTTTCAGTGTTCAAAGATCATAATCCAGCTCTCATCGACTCCAAGCTGCAGTTCCTCAAGCAACAAGCATTTACTGCAGATGTCATCACTATGAATCGCAATGGTGGCCAACACCTCCCATATCATGCAGTTACATCATATCACCTGGCCCAGCTTCTCTATTTTAATTAATTCCTTCTTATTTGATTTCATTAAAAATCTTAGGAGTCCTTTAATTTGTAGCCTGTAAAATTTTCCTCTATTCATCTGGAACAACCTATAATAGATAGCCAAATTAGCAGCTATAAGCAACCAACGGACTCGTGGTTTTCCTGTGTTGTGACTCCTTTGTGCTGGGCCCCTGATCCTGGGTTTCAATTTATCCCGTTAAAAAAGACATCCTGACAAGCTATGAACCAAAAAGGGCAAGCAAAAAGCACTCCTTCTCCTCTGCACCGAATTCCCTCGTTGCCTCCTCCTGAACTATATGCTCACTCAGCCTGTGTCTCACTGCTGACTGTGCAAAGCTTGCTCATCTATCCCCTACCAAAAAATACATAGTCCATTCATTTTCAAGCTCCAGCGAATTAAAAGATTACGTATTGTTGACCGAGTGCTACAAAGCAGCATTACATCATAGATCTGTCAAGCCATCTGAAACTGGGACAGGGGAAGGTGAAGTGTCACATGGGTGTAAGTTCAGCAGTCGATCAGGCCACACGCTGTCGCAGGGAACTTAGAGGAAGCCTTCGATGTGGCGTGCACCCAAAAGGGTATGCGCACAGAAATATTTTGCCAATTAAGCAATCACTGTCAAAGAGCATGCAGGAACTTGACACCAACCTTGTAAAGGGCTTTGCATAAAGCTTACAGCCTATGCTTTCCAGGATGAAAGTTGTGGACAAATTCCTTACCAGACTTGCGGGCCGAACTCCAGCATCCAATGCCCTATGCTGAAGTTACCACAAGCAACCCAATATCAGAGTGGGATAGTGGAATGTCAGACTTAATTCATGCAAGCTTCACCTGCTGCTGCACAAGTTCAAACTGCTTTCATTACAATCGCTGGATGTTCTCAAACATGCTTTCAGGATCTCACTGCAGTTCCAACAGTTTGTGCTCAATACATTGCTAAGATTGCTGATGAACCTCTGTACAAAAAACACATGCTCACTGTTGCCTGTGTGAACAACCTACATAAAAGCCCGCCTGGAGCGTGCATCTGAAGTCTGGATGCATGACACAGGGAGCATTTTAGTACAATTTGATTTTATTTTTGCCTGAGCAGGATTTGGAGACAAACGTATTGAACATCTGGCATTTTCCACTCAACCTTAAACACTGAATCCCAAAGGAGGCGGCTCTATCTCTAGATCCCACTCCGTTGCAGGTGTTCACTGAAGCTGCTTCTTAGAAGGGACCAGAAACTGGTGATAGGGCCTTGGACTCTCCTGAATCAGAGACCCGTCAGCTTTTCTGCTCCTCTGATGCTGCTTGGCCTGCTGTGTTCATCCAGCTCTGCACCTTGTTATATCAGATTCTGCAGCATCGGCAGTTCCTACTATCTCTCACTATCATCATTCACTTTGATGACCACAATTCACACAAAAATTGAAACTTATGATAGAACATTTCTAACACTAAAGCCTATGTCTACATCCCATAAACAGAAATAAAGATACCAAATGATTAATTTTTATCCGATGCAAAAATTCTACTACTGATAAATATGCATTCAGATTTAATTTGCTGTGTTTGGGTATAAAGGGCAGGGAACCAAGCAATATAAATTCATCCATTTATCGCAGAAATTCAACTTGATTGGCACATTTTGCAATGAAATTGCTCATATCACAATTCAACCAATAATATGCAATAAAAACAATTAAATTAGATGCAGAGTACCACTCTGATAACTGGGCTTTTGTGTGTGGACAAATTGACATGTCATTGCTTATTCCTAATGACTTGCTGTTTGATTTTAAATTCCCAGACTTTTTGTTTCAGCAGGATATATACCAATTAGAGGAATTGTCTGCAATCTGTCCTGCCTTTCACCTTGTTTCCTTGCACTTTTGTTTTTCCCCACCCCTTTCCCTGCCATTATACTTGTTTAACACCTACTTATGCCTCGAATCTTTTCCAGATGCAAGGTCATTTACCAGACTCGCTGAGTATTCCCAGCATTTGTTTTGTAAAGAACATGTTTTTTTTTTATTTCTTGTAACTTTTGAACAGGGAAAGGACTGTTCTACAGCAAAGAAATGACTGTACTTTTTTAAAGAAGCAAGCCATTGAAACTCTGTTGTGTTTACACTGCTGCTTTGACCAAGCTTGAACGAAGAGGTACAGATTCCCGGGACTGTGTACAATGTGAGCTTTGACTGGCAACAGGTTGTTGATTGGTTTGTGAAATTATGATCAGTAATGGATGCCAAAGGCCATCAACCTGACAACTATCTGACTGGCTCTTGGGGAGCTGATATCAGTGATACTTGTTGATATGAGTGATATTTGCAGAAGCCTGTTGATAGGGCAGGTGGTGTGCTTCTCTCACCAGCAAAATTTCTCAACTCTCAAGAAAGTCAGTTTATTTTCTTCCAACAATTGTTTTTAACCAATAAGTTGAAGTGCCTATAAATCATGAACCAGTATTCTGTGTCTCATGTCTACAATTGAGAGAATCTAAAGGAAAAGAGCTACAGAACAGAAAGATTTGGAAAAAATCATTCCATCAAGTCCCGATGTCAAGTGCTTTTCAATCGATTCCCAGTAATTTTTCGCCCTTCACCCATAACACCAATTTCTTTCGTCTCTCGATGTGTCATAGATTTTGCGGAGGTTGTGAGAGTTTTAACAAGTAGAAAGTGAGATGTCAACAGTTCATTTCAGCTTTCTGTGGTTAGAATCTAGTTCTTCTGATATATCAGAATTCAAAGGTGTTAACAACTTTTCATCTCACTCCATAAATCATGTCTATTAATCCATTAACCCATTAATCCGTGTCGAAACTAACTGCTGAATACCATGTACGAGCCCAGGCCCCAGTCAAACTAATTCAGGGGCTCGCTACAGTATCAGGTTACAACCACTTCAATTTGCAGTTGCACCCCACTTGAAAGTGCAGTCATGCATAATGAGCTATGTAAGCAACCCCATTTAAACAAGACCGACGTTCCATTCAGAGGTGCAGTCA